TTCCCCCAAATGATAGTGGAATATATAATGATATATTTTGAGCTATGCTTTGGTAAACAGAAGTATATCTTATGAAGAAGAATAGGAATGCCCAATTCATTGTGATACGCATACAAAATGTATGGAGTAATGGGTCACGCACAACTGTCTTCCCAGCCATTTTCATTTATTTTACTGGCATAACTGTACATTTTTACTATACTGTATAACCTGTTTTATAAATAAACATATTTGTGGCCACAATCCAAAAATATACAAAAGTAGTTACAATAGTTTTGGTTCTGTAATAGGCGGTATTAATATTAAAGAATCTGTAAAGGATACCAGACATTGATCCTATGCTAATTATGTGTATGCTCTGTAGTGAAGTGAGTAAGTGAAGCAGCACAGTTTGACAGAGAGATATGCGAAGTGCTTCCCAGAATGAACTGATGAAGTTTATAGATGCAAAAAGAAAGCAAGTGAGAGAAAAGGAGCCAAAAGCAGAAAAAAGGAAACATTTTATTGAGAAATGACAGACAACAGTGCAAGAGCCACAAATGACAAAATGATCTGTTTCAAACAGAACAAATTCTTAAAACACTTTGCTCTGTACATTATTGCACATTACTGTATTCTTTGTCCTCTTAAAAACGGAAAATACTGTTTTTCTTTGGAAAAGAAAATGCACAAAACCAACGAAAACTGTCCAGCAGTAAAAAATCAGCTGACACCTTTACAACATGACCAGCACTGACATTATTTTACATTGATTTTATACAGCTCCAAGAAAAGACTGAGGCAATACGAGTCCAGCTCTAATTAATCAAAAACACCGCAATAAAAACGAAAGCCCCCACTTTCAAAGCAAGCATTGGAAAAAGATGTCCATAAACATGACAAGTTTAACAAATCCAGTAGAAAAATACTAACTGCTTGGTTCCCGACCAGCTTTTAGCTAATTAATTTCAATAAATGATTCCCAGATTTTTAGGAAATCTTTCTCAGAGGCTGCTACTGTACATGTGCAACGTGTTTTGTGCAATACAAGCGGGTCATACCATCAAGTCATCAAGTTTAACTTTCAAATGCAAAAACAAAAGCTGAAAAACTAAATCATGCAGGTGGAAAGGGTATTTTGATTAACGTATTTCTTAACTTTGTATGGAAACTAAAAAAAATGTGGACGAAATACTGTCTACATATTTTATTTTGTTCTGCAGATGAGACCTTAATTTGAACACATTGAATCAGATTGCTTTAGTTTCTAAAATTGATCGCATGCAGAAATCTAATCAGATCCTATAAATACTAAAGATATCGAGGGGCTTTGTAAAAGAAACAACATAGCAACATTTACACAGGCAAGATGTGTGTTTTAAAACGTTCGTATCCAAAATAAAAAGGGAGAGACTGACGAGAATGAAACGGATCCCTAATGATGTCTGCTTTCCCATAAAACGCCCTAACTGGATCCAAGCCGAACTGTAGGTACAATACGTTGTATCACAAGCAACATACACCTAAAAGTCCTTTGAATTCACGTAGAGTGGTGTTGCGAGATATAATTTTTCTTTACAAGAAAGCTGCTTTTGTACATTATCCATAACGTGACAAAGGGCACACGTGATTCAGCCTCTTTAACGGCAAACCGTCTATCTGTTTTAAAAGGCTTTCTTAGGTGCGCCTGTCCTGTCTGTGACTACAGTAGGTGAGGAATGTTTGAGCGGTTCTCAGTCTGTGCTGGATTGTTTCTTCTGGTCACTTATTGGCTCCAAAAGCTCAGTTCGAAGGCGGGCTTTAAGCAGACTGTAGAAAGGAACCAGAGAGAAAAAAGAAATAAGAACAGAATCCCGAGAGCTGTGACGGACATTATCATGTCTTGCATTGTCTCTAGAGCGAAATAAACTGTCTACTATTCTTCCGATTTCATTATGGAAATTCTGCACAATTGTAAATTAATGAGGCAACGTATTATTTATTGCAATGATTTACAGGCTCCATGAATGTAGCAATGCGTGGCGTTTATTCCGTTCGTTTTAGCCAGAACTAAGACTTTGCACTGCAACTGCAGAATTATCGCATTGTGCTGCATCACAGACAGAGCCAAAGAAAGGGCATTTAGGTAAGATGCCAAGCGGAAGTTAAAGTTGTCTAAGCGACAACAAAAGCTTATAAGGATTCTGGGAACAGTCCACAGATTTCCAATTATTTAGCATTACCTTGAACCATCAAAAGTCACAACAGAGGTACAAACGTGTTGCTTAGTATTTTCACTCCACATAATTCCCGAGCATAGTCTAATCACGGCAAAATATTAATGAGTGTAATTCCAATTTTTTCAATGTCCCTTTTCTGAGGCTAAAGGAAAACACTTTTTATGGAGGGGTCCTGCAATTAGGCAAGTCACCACAGGGTGTCACTGCTTAACAGTGTGCCATAAGTCGATCCATCAAAATTTAGACGGATTTCCCGGGGAGAGCTGTGGCCTTAACAATCCTGCACTTTTCCATTTTTGTAGGAAAGACAAATGTAGTTCCAACTAAACATCTAAGCTTCTAGCAAGCAACAGGCTTCAAAATTCTGCTGGGTCCCAGGGACAATGAAAGATTGAAAAAAAAGAGACAAAACTCAATTTATTTTTGAACGACAAAATGCCTTTTATTTTGTTACACAGTAAGCAACACCTGACTGAAGTAAGGGATCCATGATCGTAAAGATATGCTACTGAAAAGAACTGGCAAGGTGGGAGAGAAAGCAACGCAGAAAAAAGAGAAATCATAGAACATGCGATTAAAGACTGCAATCAGGAGATGATTTAGAAAACGTGTCCACAGGAAGCCTGTGTGAAGCTGTTTGCTGACCCCAAGTACTGTACTGTATGTCTATCACCTATACAGTATTAGCAACAACTTACAAAAACACACTGCAAAATAAACCATTTCATGCACAGCCAATTTTAAATGTCCTATCAGCTTTTATCAAAAAGAAGGCTTGATATTTTCTTTAAACCAGAAGGATAACAGTGTCAGTAAGTTCTGAAATTCGCCTCTGTTCTGACCTTGTCCTGTTATAAGATACTGTATTTTCCACTGTAAATCACGATGTGAAAAGGATGTGGTTGTCAAAAAAAAACAAAACAAAACAAATCGTGACAAAGCATTTAAAATAATAGTTACCCAACCCATTTTAACTAGTCATTTGCAAAAGCCTAGACAGTGATGTAATCAACACTCTTGCATTACCTGGAGAATAAGACACCCAAAAGAACTGACTGTGCTGCACTGCATATCGAGATGTTTTCTGTTCCTTTCAAAGCAAGACCCAAGTTCATCAGGAGATTGTGAAAGAAACGTGGTATTGCATGAAGCTTCCACTAACAGTCGCACCTCAGGGAGACCTCTTATGCTACGATGAAAATGTGAATACCTCTTTATCTTGTGATTTGACTACAATGTAAGCATATTACATCAGTGTCAGGCAGCTGTCAGTTTCTTAATGAGAAACGATAATGAAAGCAATAATTACTAAAGGGCGTCTCTGCCAGCAAATCAAAGCTATAATTTTCATATCTCTCTTTTATTCTCATTTTGCTTCCAGGATCTTCTGCCATAGCAAAGATTGTGTGTGTCTATGAAAGTGATAAGTAACGCATATGAATGACTAGGGTTAAAGCAATGATTGTGTAACTTAAACTGTTGTGTAAACCTGTAAGTGGACACAGAGCAGACGCTGGTTGTTAAAATTGTCTGGTTTGCATGGCTATGTGCTGTACCGTCTGTTTTCTGATGGTAAATACCACTTAGATACACCATTGTTGGCCTTGAGCAGAATTTGCCAATTTCCAGTAGCAAAGGAAATGTAACAGTGTTTTCAATTCCATGCATGGTACAGTATGTTTTTTCCCTTTTGTGTCAGTAAAATTAACACCACAAAAAAGACACGACTGATGGATTAAAATGAGTCAGTATTGCATAACAAGATCAGCAGCATGACCAACTACAACTGGCATATGCAACAGAATTTTTTTAAAAGGCTCATGCATCAGCATTGCAAAACCTTTTTCTCATAAACCACACTACTTTTAAATGGGCTGGTACAGTATGTGTGGAACTTTTGTTACTGTTGTTCTTACTCTCTTGCTGTTCTTTGCTGTTCAAACTCAGTTTTTTAAGTACTCAAAACAAGGCAACATACAGCTCCAACTTTACTGCAGTTGCTAAATGTAACTTACAAGCTTTTAAAGTCATAATGCAAAGATAATATCTTCCCCCATTCAGCAAGCACAGCACACAAGTAAAGCAGAAAAGGTGAAACAGAAATCTCAAGCTAAACCCTTTTCTAAGTGGCTGTAAGGTTAATGGGTCCTGCATGCATTGGTTGAAAAAAAGCCCTATGAACTAATGGATTATTTTTTCCCTTCAATGAATTTTAGCTTAGCCATATCACAGATAAATTCATCTCAGCAATGAAACAGCTTAGCAATTTCAACAGGTATCAGACACAGAAATTTAAACAAGCTGAGGCTGGAATTGGGCAATTTCTGCTTCTCTTTCCCAAGATTTACTTTGCAACTCTTAAAGCTCATTTTAATCTTATGCTCTTCTAGACAAAGAGCTTAAAAAAATGATAAATCAAGACTCAAAGCTAACAGTATAGAAGCAAAGCATTTCAGCAAACAACTATTGATGGAGTCATTTGTTTTTTTGCACCAGTGTTGTACTCACTGTTTCTGGATCAGATTCTGCTGCTGTTGTCTGTATGTCTCAATTGTATGCTGTGGTAGAAACTGCATGAGCTCCAAAGACTCCTTAATTTTCAACAAAATCTCATAGATTTCACGCCCTTTTATCTACAAAAAAAGAAAAGAAAAAAGAAATCAACCATCTATTTACATTAACCAGTCTCAGACAGTACAGTACAGTAATATCATGTCCTCAACATCACCGCAACAATGCTGAACATCCTGGTGCACTTACAGGCAGACAAAATAACTCGTCGTCTGTAGGTCTTCGCTTCTTGATGGATGTCATCTGAATCCCATGTGATGCTTGGCGGAAAGCTACAAAAAAGGGAACCAAATTAAGTAGGTTACAAAACAACAAGGCTTGAACAAGCAGAGGCACTGACAGAAAGCTAAACCTAAAGCTTGGAGATATTAATGTGCAGCATGCAGAACAGGCTACCCTGCACCAGCCCCGCCAGCTACTTACGGCGTTTCGTACCATCACTGCTCTTTGTGCCATCTGTGACCTGCTGTTTGCGAATGCTGTCTTCATCTGCCTTGCGGTCTCTCCCAGGGCAGGCGCAGATCCGGGCCTCAAAGCAGCGCCGACCGAGAACCTGACCACTGGAGTCAGTGTGAAAAGCAAAAAACGTCAGTAAGGAACCTGCTTTCCCACTATTACCTTGAGAAACACATGCGATCAAGCGCAGTTAATCAGAAATACAGTAGATCCTCCGTCATCAGAACTGATCGGGAGATTGGTGCTCCGTCTGAACTGGCTTCTTGAACCCCACTGTCAAGAGACGTTCAGGCTTACTCTCTGGTTTCCAGTGTGACGATGATGAGAATGGGGCGGCGATTCATCCCTCCGACACAGCTGCTGTTGCACATGAAGTTGTACAGGATGGTGGTGAACTCAGTCCCCACCTGTGTGAGAAAGACAAAGGTGAAGTTACACAACAGATGAAACTTAACAACACATGATTACACTGATGTAAATGAGCTGCACGGTCTTTTATTTTCACTTTTTATATTATACTGTATTAGCATTATATTTGAATTTGAGAATCTGGAGATTCTGTTATAAAACAACAGGTTTCTTTCTTTTGAGAACGAGGTGAGCTTTCTGAAGGCTGTTTTTTATGCATTACGTCCCATAAACAGAAGATCAGAATAGTTTTAAGATTTTATTTAGACATGGTCTACTGTACACACCAAATTTCAAATGTGTCGGAAAAACCTGCACCCCAAGGAAAAGATCCTTCATTCAAGTGCCTCACAGGTAAGACAATATCAGGATTTTTTTTAGGACTGGAAGGGTTGTAAGGGTCATAGAGTTCAGCCAGACTTTGTGGAGTGACTAGGCTTAAATATGCCACAATAGTCATAACAATGAGTTGTACTGTGGCCTGGAAGACAGGAAGCTATGTAGACTGAAGATGACTTACAGGTGACAGCGTTAGATAGCAGATAGTACAGAATATTTACCTGGGGCGGTTCATAAGGCACCAGAACACTTTGGCGACCTGTCATTGAGTCCTCAACATACTGGGCATGGCTGTTCCCCTCCACACGAATAAGGTGGCTAGGTGGAGCTATCTGACCTGCAGAATTAACAAAGGCAAAGCAAAGTTAAAAGATGCAGAGCTTTAACTGAAGTAAGCAAGCTTACTATTCCAAATAGCACTTGATGAGACAGATAAAGCATTACAAACATTGTGGCTGTGACCTCAGAAGGAGAGTTCATTTGCCAGAAACACACAATGATTGTTGTACAGTATAAGTTAACATAGAAAAAAACACAAATTGAATTTTAGACTGACCTATAACTTTTGCGTATTTCAGATGAGTTATATGTTTTTACATTCAGGCCAAATGACTTGAGTTGTGCATGAAAAGAAGACGTTATATATTCAAGTGTTAAAATTAATCTGTAAGACGCATTTGAAAGTGTCTGAAAACCAGTAGCAAGAGTAGAAATCTAAAAACAGAATGTCAGGGTTAAGGAAAGGAAGGGCTCTACACAGAGAATGGAAGTTAGAACTGAATGCTCTTCCAGTTTTTCTCGGCTGCTGTGAGAATGCCTTTTTACCGTCATTGAACTCTCGGCTGAGCTCGTGATTGGGGCACCGCTTGACCACCTCAGTGACGTGCTCGGCCTTCTTGTAGACTGGCATGGCCCGTATGACTGCCCCTTGTGGAGGAGGCGTCATCACTTTGATCTGGATGGGGCACGTCTTGGCAATCTGGCAGTAAAGCTTCTTCAGTTCTGTGGAGTACTGTGGAAGAAAAAAGAAAAGACCTAAGTCTCTAAAACAGAATAAAAGAACATAAAATAACATACTGTACAGACTAAAGATACAGTAACAAAAACTGAGAGAACGAGGAAGCTGCCCAAAAAAGAAGTTTAACTCTAGAGGTTAACTCCCCCCTGAAAACTATAAAAGAGGGTAACAAATGTTTTAGCTGGAAGAAAAAGTGGGAATATAAGAATATTCCTTGTGTTGTGAGAACACAAGCAAGGGTGATAATGAGTAGGGGCAAGTGGGAAATGGACTCCAAAAATCTGAGAGCAGAATTCCACGCAAGGTTTGGAAGGTGAAAACCGTGAACAAATAGATTCGGAGATCCTCTCCAAACTCATTCACGATCTCAGATTTCCAACAAGCCACGTAGGAAAGGCATGGACTGTTTAGCTTTTGACATACAGTACTACAAGGCCCACTGCTCCTTAAAGGACAGCTAGTGCTAGCTGGAGGAAAGGAGCTTTTCTTCCTTAAGGCCTCCAAGAAATAAATCCAATAAAAACACCTGACCAGAGCAACACTGAATTTCAGTTTGTTTTTATATTCGACTCCTCTTACTTTTCTCATTTAAAAATTACCTATTCCACCCCATCTTCTTCCTCAGGTGCAAGAAGAGCATGAGTGTTCAAGAGAGAAAGTTCTTCGAGATACACAATGCGTGAGGCTTTTTCCATTAGAAGAAATTTAACACATGGGAAACCTCAGAACTTAAAAGAAGGCAGGTATTTTTTCCCTAGAGAATTTTCCTTCTGGTGCCATTTAACGTCTGTCCTGTAATTAATGTTTCCACAGGAGAATGTCATCATTAAAGACTGTGTCAGAACAGCTGGAGGAGGGGGAGACGCACCCTGAATCACTGACGTCTGCATGCCAAATCTGCAGGCACTTCCAAGGAAAAACGCAAACCAGCTCCTATAAAACCTACAGGACTTAATTCCCTGTGCATTCCAGTGAATTATATATCACCACCAAACCTACTATTTACAAAAAAAACACAGATCAGCCCAGATTGTTAAAACTAAATTATGAGAAACAAACTTCATCTTGGAATATTTGTTTACAAAAAACACACAAATGATTTTTTTGATGGTGTGATCCATCTAGCTCAGTTTTTTTAAAACCCCACTAGTGTGCTTATATGCTTCCTTGTAAAAAAATGGCTCTAGTTTTTGACTTAATAGACATTAGGATAAAAGCAAATAGTGCTGACTACATAATACAGCTATCATAGAAACTGCAAACGCTGAGGGGAGATTTCAATGAGCAGTTGGCAACTTTGCACACTGTTACAGTCAATTCCTTCAAGCAAAAAAACAAGGATTTGGTAATTGATTTGGCAATTGATTGTGAGAATAAAACAGTTAATGACCTAACTATTTATGGTCATTATCCTAGTAAGGTATTAAGAGTCGAAGAAAACAGATTCTATAGCATCCCATCTAGGAGCAGGGTGTCTCTCAACCTTTTATGTTTTCATGATTGCAAACCAGAGATTGCAAAATGTTTTTAGGAAGAGTAAATAAAGGTATCCGATTGCTCACTGTTACTTCAAGTTACAATTTATTTTTTTTCACAGCAGGAGTCCTAAACTATAATGACGAAAAGTGGTACAATGGCAGACAGTGTTGCAATTTAAATGCTTATTAATCTAGGTGTTATCGTAAGAGGAGAAGGTCAGAGATGTGACGTGTACTCCACCAACCATTTTATTGTCTCTGACTGACTAAGCTCATTCTTGAAACTATGTCATCAACCACAGGAATCACCGCTTTCATCAGAGGACATGATTGAGTAGTACTGGATGTCACTGTCTGTGAACCAGAGAGCCACATAGGCCACAAGTTGACGTACCCACACAAGAATATCTGTAGAAGGAGCCTACATAACATTAACTCATAATATGCAATGTATGGAAAATATAGTAGCCTTCAATTCTTATCTGTGATTACTACTCACTTGATGAATTCCAGGAAAAAAATAGTAAATTAATAGTAAATAAAGATTTGTGCAACTCTCAAAGAGTACAAGAAGGGTCCTTAACGATTAGACATTTGGCTCATCTTGCTTCATTGGTGCTAAACACCTGAACGCGAAAAAAAAAGTTTATGAAACAAACTGAAACTGCATTTAATATGTAGTTTTACGGACAAAAATAATATCATTTGTATGATTAAGTTTCCTATCTTCATTCCTACAGTACCTTATGATATAGAACATATTTTCAAAAGCAAAGGAAAGTATCAACTGAATCCACTTAAAAATGTCAGTTTTTTTATAAAGATCTTTTATCTTGTTGTGTAAATGCTGCTTAAGTCTTAAATGTTTTCAAATGATGTTAAGTGAAAGAGGGTTTTGCTACCTTTTTTGGGAATGTACTTCATCGTATCTTTAAGCGTTTAAGCTTGTACTTACAATACAGGTGGGAAAAAAGTGGAGAAAACATTCTTTTGAGATTCATCAAAAAAAAGAGATTGTGAACATTGCTAGAGGCTATTTCCTAGAACAATGGCACATTAAATTCCATTTCTATTAACTTTCTTATGAAATGTTCCAATGAATGGAGCCCTTCCCACCACCTGCCTCAGTTGAGTTATAAAGTTACACAAACTTGGCAATAATATTTTCACAATGCCAATCTTTACCTCCCTCTTCCCTTCTAAAACCAACACACATTTGTGCCAAAAACTTGTAACTGGAACACCTGCCCTTTTCCTCGGGACTTTCAAAGCATTTTCAGTGATTGAAGCCTAAAACAACTGAAGGAGTTCACCAAAGTGTGAATTTGTCGGTGCTGATATTTTAACACACACAGTTCACATGTATTTACAGTAAGCCTGTACACAAAAAGAGAAGAAAATGAGTGTGTATTGCAAGAGTAAATGAGCTAGAAAGATAAATCATTCCATGAAAAAGAAAAAAAAAACTATTTTGGGACTTTTTCCTAAACTTAAATGGAATGGAAATGAAAACCACAGATAAAGATTTGCCTGGTCTTTTTTTCATTCTAAGTATGTTGTGGTGCAAAAGTAGTCTATCTTTTCTGACCTGATTTACATCTTCTGCTTTAAATTTTAATCATCTCGGAACATGTCACATCAATAGTGAATGCATGTGAAATTGTAAAGTTGCAGATCTCTCAGTACCACCTACTGTAAGGAGGCTACTGCAGTAGCCTTTAATTATTGTTGGCTAGGGTTCAGTAGCTGTCCTGTGGCCCCTCCCTAGATGATCAATAGGAATGCCATAGAAGTCTGTTCAGCCAGACTGGTCTCTGCCCAACCTCACTGTGTGCTGTTTCACTGGGGATTACCCTGGAGTGGCAAGGTGTGGCACAGAACATCATGCTGTATGGCTAATTTGCTCTCACCAGCCTGTTCAGAAACGCCAGGCAACACCTATTTGAATTGCAGCCCCTCCCAATAATGAGCTTCGCCTTGTGCACTGCATGATACAATACATCATTTTACAAAGAAAACCCCAATATAAAACAGTACAAAAGAGTACATGTTTCCAAAAAATACAAGAATTGTCTATCCTTGTCATTGAGTAACGCTTTACTTTTAATTGGCTGTAAAATCTGGTGGACAAAGCACGTAAAGTCACATACTGTAGTACAATAATGTTATCTAAGATATGATCTTATTTTCACATTTGGTCAAGCTTTACTGTGACCCTAAGCAGCTGTAAATAAGTTCTTTCAGTGTTGCATTAAATTCACAAATTCACTAAAACCAAGAAAACTAAAGCTTCCTTGTCTTTTACTATACATGTGTTGAAATCTGCAGGTCCTAAGAATTGCCCTCTCGTTCCAAGACTTAAACACTCACACTTACACCCTGAACCCTTATGACAAAGAGGTAAATTAACCCAGAGAGAAAACCAATCTTGTGCACAGTAATACAAGACCTGAGGCAAAGCAGGTGGGCTGAGAGACGCTGTGTTCCGTATCAGACACCACGCGACAGGATGGGAACATTTACACAAGCTAAACCACAAAAATTAAAAAAAATAAAAGGAGAAAAAGAAAGAAAACACAAAGAATGTGTCACAGTAATTTTCAGTACCCCCAGGGCTCAAACATCCTTAAACACTCCTAATACTCTACGGCACAAGCAGCTGCACCCAGTGAGACTCATAGCAGCAAAATATTTCTGCCTCGGAGGTGTAATTTTTCACTTTAAAGAAACAGCGCACTGGTTTTGTACTGCCGAGAACACTCTGGAAAAAGTTTAATTCAGAAGACGATTAAGGAGGTTTAACATTGAAATGATTGTTTTGTTAAAAAAAACAACGAGAGGTATTGAACCATTCAAGAGGTTCTCCTGAGACAGCTAAACAGTCAGAATGAGTTACAGTAATTAAAAACCATTGTACTGCTGTCATTGTTTATCGTTATATCTCTAATGCTGTGTTAGGAATGAATCGAACAGGCTGCAGCCTACCATTAAATGCAGACCCTAATCTAAAGTCACAGCATCTTATGAGTAGGAAATGGACACAGCTACAGTAGATGATAAAACTGGTAGCATTCACAAAATGATATCATTAAAAGTAATGGGAACACTGCACATGAATCAAAAATATGCCCAACCAACAGTATGTAGGAACCCAAAACATCAACACAACTAAGGGTAAACAAGAATGGAAAGGGACAGAAGCGAAGGCAGGAGAAAATAAAAATCAGGGCCATGCTTCAGAAGAGCTAGATGATGGACTACCTAGGCAATTCCTGTGTGTGGACCTGCAGATGCAGCACACACGCAAGAGCTAATGGTGACTGAGACTAGTGTCCCGCCTTGAGGTTTCGGGCCACGTTCCAGCCACACTGCCTGAGCTCATCAAGAATGCTGACATTGCCTCCTCCACCTTCACCTCTAGACAAACAGTTCAATTTACACAGATCTAGAGAAAATTCTAATGCAAGCTTGCGCGCACACACAGAGACACACACGCACACAATGCTCTCCCAGTAT